TAAAAAATGAAACCATATGCCCAGACCAGCGTGACTCAGTTGGTTGGGTGTCATTCTGTGAAGTGAAGAATTGCCAGATAGATTCTCGGTCAGGGCACATGCCTGGGTTGAGGGCCCAGTCCCAGATGGGGCATGTGCAAGACGCAGCTGATGGATGTTTGTCTCACACATTGATATTTCTCTCCCTCTCTTTCTCCCTTTCTTCCCCTCTCTCTAGAAAAATTAAATCTTCTAAAAAAAAGAAACTATACAAAAACTTTGCTCATGTACTTTTCTAGTCACTCCCCATTCCCCAAAGTTGACAACTATCCTGACTTCTATCACCATAGATTAGTTTTGCTTATCTGTTTTTTTCTGTTGTGTTGTCTCTCTTTCTTACTGGCTTCTGGTAAGAACATATAGGATGATGCAGAAGTAGGTTTGCATTTGTTTGTATGAAAAATAATGCAATAATTAATAAGTAATAATACAAGAATAAGCTATGTTCTGTGTACTCACAACTGTAGACCACTTTTGCCCCCAACCTGTATGTTCTAGTATTCTAGATATGAGTTCTTTGTACTGTAAATATCTTTTTTCTGTAGCTTACTTTTGCGTATGCTTAACAGTGTCCATTCATGAATGGAAATTCTTTAATTTTAATATAACCCAGTTTGTCAAACTTTCTCTTTATAGTTACTGCTTTTTTTGTTTAGGAAATTTGTGCCTTTCTCAAGTTCATAAAAAGCTCATAAAGATCATTTTTGGAAACTTTATTTTACATAATTATATCTGTAATAAACTGGAACTGATTTTTGTATATGGTGAGAGGTAAGACTAAAGCTTCAGTTACTTACATACAGATATCCAAGTGATCCAGCATTATTTATTGAAAAGGGCATTGATTCCCCAGTGATCCACAGTGTTGTAACCCTGTTACTAATGAAGTGACCAGGTATTTATGGAAATACTTTTTCTTTTCTCTTTCTTCATTGATTAATTTTTTAAATTAATTTTTTGTTTTGGGGTTGGGGATGAAGAGAAATACGATCAGTTGCCTCAACCAGGGACCAGGCTTGCACCCAGACATATGCCCTGACTAGGAACCAAACCAGCAACCCTTTGCTTTGAGGGACAACACCCAGCTAACTGAGCCACACCAGTCAGGGCCTTGTTGTGCCAGTGCCACACTTTTTTAATTTGCATAGCTTTGCAACGAGTATTTTTTTTTCTGGTAGTATAAAGCTTTCAATTTTTTGTTATATAAGGTTTTTATGCTGTGTTTACCCCTTTACATTTTTTTTATAAATTAGGGATCATCTTGTCAGTTTGTATGTGCGCATGTGCAAACACACACATTCACAGACACAGACATCTCCTGGGTTATGATTGGAATGACTGTGAATCTGTAGATCTATTTAGGGAGCTTTGACATCTTTACAATATTGAATTTTCTATGAAGAAGACATATTCTTTCTTTTATTTAGGTCATCTTTATTTCAGTAAGGCTTTTCAGTTTTCTGGGTCATGGCCATATTTATATATATAATTTGTTCCGTTTACCCCTAGGTATTGATTTTTAATGTTATTATAAATTGTATTGCTTTTTAAATTTATATGGTATAGTTACTTATTTCTAGGACATAAAAATGGTTTCTGTATATATTGCTATTGTATGCAGGAACTCATTAAATGTATTTATTAATTTGATTTTTGTCTTTAGATCCTTTTAGATCCTTTTGTCTAAAAGATCCTTTTAGATCTTTTAGATCCTGAGATTTTCTACAAACTCAATTATGTCATTTATGAAGAATGATCATTTCTTTCCAATCTTTCTTTTTTTAATTGGGGATAGAGGAGGGCATTCATTACAATGTCTAGAACCCTTATAGTGTTAAATAAAATGACAATAGTAGATATCCTGTCCTTGTTGCTGATCTCAGAGCCAAAAGTTTCAACATTTTACTATTAAGTATAATGTTTGCTATATTTCTTGATAACTTCAATGACATAGTTTTATTTTTGGTTTACTTAAGCTTTTTTATTATGAATTTGCATTGAATTTTCTGCATCTGTTGAGATGATTATATGACATTTATTCTTTATTCTGTTAATGTGGTGAATCACTTTGATAAATTTTGTGATGTTAAAGCCAATCCTGGATTCCTGACATAAACCTAATTAAATTAGAAAACAATAAACACATCAAAGGGATCCCAGTGTTTGGAAATTTATCAGTATACTTCTAAATAACCCATGCATCAAAGAAAATACCACAATAGAAATTAGCATTCAAGAGAACTAACATAGTCAAAGGTTAGTTTGTTAGGAAAAAAAAGAAAAAAACTGATCAACTTCATACTAAAACATTTAAAATTTAGAAGAAATAAATTCTAGGAAATACATTTCAAAGAATTCTATTTGAGAAATTTAATCTGTAGTTAAACACCTTCCTAATGAATAAAAAGATTGGCCAGGATAGTTTTATAAGTGAATTTTTCAAAAAAAAAAAGAGAGAGAGAGAAGAAAAAGCATTTTGATTCTTTTTATGGGGATAGTGTCTCTTTCATTACAAGCCCTGATGAAGAAAGATCTCACAAGATATACATAGATGCAAAAACAAACAGAATATTAGTTTATCAAAACTCAAAAAAAGTTCCCTCGTGTTCCTTCCCATTGCCAGCACCTATCCCATGTTGCATAATTGTTGTTCTACTTTCTGCCACCATGGATTAGATACTTCTTTTCTAGCATTTTATATAAGTGGAATTGTATAGTAGATTTTGTCTGGTATTTGGCTTCTTTGAAGGGAAAAAGCAATATAGAATGTTGTCCTCATCACAATGCGTTTTCCTTACCTCCAAGATCTTAATCCTCAAGAGTTGGCTGACTTGGTAGACCCTCTTCTTTCATATTGATGTGTTTGTATTTTATTCAACTCTTCTAATTGGTTTCAATAGGAGGATTGGTCTAAAATATGATAGTTCATGATTGCCAAAAGCAAAAAAGCTTCAGCAGTATTTAGTGGAGGTACAAGTGGTACAGAGGTCAAGGGTGAGGGTGAGTATTCTAATAAAATGGAATCTGGATGATTCCCACAAGAAATTTGAGCAGGATTGAAAGATTCAAGCATATTTTTCCCGTTAAATATAGGATATGTATCTTATAATGTTATATCAGTCAAGATTCTATGCCAGAAACTACATGCCTTAGGCAGGGGAGCATTTAGTAGAGGTAATTAGTGGTTACACATTGTTGGAAGGTCTGAAGGAGTAAATTCTAGACTAGGCCTATAAGAATGACTCCCCAAGCAAGCTGCTCTGTCAGCAAAGACACCACCTCATGGACTGCCACCAGGGCTGTACAATGGCACAGTGGCTGTCACTGCTCACCACAGTCTCGCTTGCTAACAGCAGTAACAAAGAAACCCAGCAAGAAAGCCTTTTCCTCACTTCAGCCTTTCAAATTTCACAATTTGAATCAAACACTACTTGAAGGGAATATAGGAATTATAGTTTTTGGCTTAGAGACTTTTCCAAATCTTATGAGGGTAGAATGAGAGCCAAGTCAAAGTTTCTACTGTGCACATCAATTAGAAGCTCACTGTCCCTGTAACATTGCCATCAATAAATATAATGTTTGAGGAAGCTTTTCAGTCTTCTGTACCTTTGCTTTATTTTGTCTTCTAAATGATCATATTATGGCCTGTGATTTAAATATCCAAAATGCATATCAGTCAATTAAAGATTGTGTTTAAGTTAATATTTTAATACTTACTGAGGACATACAAGATGCCTGGCATTACCTTGGTAGCGCTAAAAATTTAAACAGCCTATCAAAATTGACATTAACCTAATTCCAAGATTATTTTCAAACATAATCATAAAATCAGTTTGTTTCATAATCAAGTATATATGAAAACTTCATCAACTTCATCTATAATTCTTTCTGTATATTGAAGGACATTCTGATATATTCCATAAGTTTAGCAATTCAGATCTTCATGTGAAAATGTCACTGATATACTCAAGGACAAAATGCTAAATATAGCTTCCTCCCACATTGCCTCTTTTGCTGCAGTACCATGTTTGTTGATCTGTTTTGCCTTCTTTCTTTTTGCTCAATCAATAGAAGGCTTGAATAAAGCCAGACAGTTTGTGCCAATACTATCTGTATGTTTTTTGGTTTGTTGTAAGCTACTGATGTCCTATGATGTTTTCAACAGTTATAGATGGTTTGTACTCAAGGGGGGAATACAAAAATAAAAACAAACACAAAGAAACTGGTGAACTGTAATACAATTGTTAGGCTGACTGTTAAGCTATTGAAGTGTTCAGGCCTAGACGTTAGAAGGCATATGATGCTTAAATAGGTTTTATGTGACAATAGTATCTCTGTATGTCAAATAGGTTCTGTTTGTGATTTATGATGATTCTGAATTTGAAATTCACCTCAATTTTTCTCTTGTGGTTTGCATTAGAAAGAATTCATTTTAAAGAACTCTAAGAAAGACTGACTTGATTTTATTTTAGGGCACAGTGAATGTAAGACTATATTTCATAAGTATTCTAATAGGTTCATTTCAGAGGGCAGGGAGAGTTTAACATTTTTATCATTCATGTATTAGTTTGCTCATCTCTTTTAGTTAATACAATTTTTAGAACTGGGAAGTACATAGTTGCCCTTCTAACATGTATTTTATTTTTGTGAAATTAAAAGGTTTAATTAGACTGAGAAAGCCCTCAGATATATTTACTTCCTTCAGAGAGATATCCTTCAAAAGATAGCCTTCTCTCTTAAAAAACTGTCCTGCAGAAGGACCATCATTTTATTTACCTAACCATCTACTACAGAATTTGCTGGTTAAATATTTGAATGGTAATGTTTCATCAGTGCAATGTTTGAGGATGAATGTGTGGAAAAATATCAGAGAATTATAATTAAGAGTGTTTTACTTTGAGACTTTTAAAAATATCAATAATAAAGTGTGTTTTAACCCACTTATTTTTCTTTGTTCTCAGGTGGATCTCCATACTTAGCAACCAAAATAAATGAAGCAAAAGACTTGCTAGAAGAAACCTCCAAACACTGATGCTCAAGGACTGCTCTGAAGGGAAAAAGCAGGGGGGTTAAAAACAAAGTCTAGCAAATTTTCAAAACCACCACTGTCCTAATTTTCATACACGTGCTAACGATAAATAATTTATTCACTGTTAAGTGGTATAATAAAAGATTAATAATCTCCCTGCTCATTATCTTTTAAAGGAATACCTTATAATTTTATAACTGATTTTTTTCTTATTTTCTTACTTTCTCTGTGATAGTCATACCTTTTAATATTTCTGTTCTGTTTTAAACCTTCCTCACTCTCCTCCCCCACACAAAAGTATTCAAAAAGTATGATCAACAGTAATGTCATTGGTGTTTGTGAGCAATGAGTAGAAATACTTTCACTGCTTATACAGGGGCAGGCAAAAGTAGGTTTACAGTTGCATTGTGACATTCTTTTGCGTTGATAAAGCTGTTGTAATCAACAAGAACCGGTATGTCTTTCCCATATGAACAACTGAAACCTACTTTTGCCACTGCTCCCCATGTTTATACTCACATTGTCCCCGTTTCCTTGGAAGAATTTAGTATGCTGCGTCTGTAAAGGGCTTGAAATGTTTTGAGACCAAACACTGACTGCCATCCAATGGGGAAATGACCTGAAACTTAATGGAATTTACAAAATGGTGTTTTTTAAAGTAGTACTTAGGACTTGTTGAAGAACTCTGCTCTCTCTGAGACCCTATAGCTGAAGCATGAGAACTTGGAGAGCTACTAAAATGATTAAAGATTTACAAAATGACCCCTTACAAGGAAAGGATGAAAAGAGCTATGAGAAGTCTGAGGAGCTTGTATTTAATTACAGTCTTTTGTACTATATATTTATTCAGTTATTCATTCCAAATATTTATTGACCACTTCAAATGTGTAAGGTGCTATAGTGACCCCTCTGAGAGTTATAGATGTGAACCAATTGTGGATCCTGACCCAAAGGAACTTACATTTAAAAGAAAGATAAATCACATAAATACTAGTAGAGATGCATAGATGATATGCTAAAGAAATTCAAAAGAAGAAAGGCATATTTAGAATTGATAGCATTGGGGGAACTTCATAGGGTAAGTGGCATAGAGCTGGGCTTTTAACAATGAGAGGGAGCATATGATTGGTGAGTCTGTGTTTCTTCTGAGAGCAGTCAGAATAGCAGAAATGGGGTATCGATTACTGTAATTAGAGTGATTAAATTATATTCTCAAAGCAGCCCCTGGTCTTCATCACTACTATTTCAAGGGTGAGCAAACAGATTCAGATACAGAGTACCAGCATTATTTTCCAATGCCACTTTACAAATTCTGGGTTCATCCCCAGTAAACTGAACTTACTTCATCTATCTTAAAATACTTTTTAATATTCTAGATGCATCTTTCAGTTTATTGTCTCCCTTAGGTGGAGAGTTTTCAGTGTTGACAATATTATCAGTATTGAGTTGAATAATTCCTTTTTGTGGGAGTTCTCCTGTGCAATGTAGGATGACTGGCAACATGCATACCTGTACCTCCTAAAGGCTAGTAGCACCCACTCACTTGGGACAACTAAAAATGTTTATAGACATTGCCAAATGTCCCTTGGAGGGCAAAATTGTCCCTGGCTGAGGGCCATGGTGTAAATGTTTAGTATTTTTTCTTTAGGCACATAAAATAATGGCCTAACTTAAAACTGATTGAATTTTAGAGTTAGATAAATATTGTTCTTGCTTTAAAGTCTCCTTGCATGTCCTAATTTTATTGTGCTTTAGTGGTTTTCATTTTTCTCCTCTTTATTATCTCTGTACCTCAAGTGCCCTTCTAATCCTCAGATCTTCACATGCTCAAAGCGTAGAGGTCAGTGAAGGTCAAGCTAAAATGTGTCCCTCCTTTTCTTGTGCTTCCAGTGAAAGTAATGTGAATCAGCGCTCTGGGAGCAGGGACCGTATTTGTCTTGTTTACTGCTACATTGGCACCCACTAAATATTTGTTGAATGAATGAATAAATTCCCATACCATTTTTTTTTAGTAATAATGTGGAGCAATAGGAACTCTAATTTAATAATATGGAAATACAAAATGGTACAGCCACTTTGGAAGACAGTTTGGCAGTTTCACACAAAATTAAACATACTTTTAACATAACAATCTAGCAGTTGTACTGCTTGGTATTCAGTCAAAGGAGTTTAAAAACATATCCACACAAAGCCCTTTTTACAGATGTTTGTAGCAGCTTTATTCATTTTTACTAAAACTTGGAAGCAACCAAGGTGCCCTTCAGTTGGTGAGTGTATAAATAAACAGTGGTACACCCAGACAATGGAATATTATTCAGCACTAAAAAGAAATAAGCTACCAAGCTGTGAAGAAACATGGAAACTTAAATGCATCTTACTTAATGAAAGGAACCAATATAAAAATGTGGCCTACTATATGATTCTAACTACCTGACATTCTGGAAAAGGCAAAATTATGGAGACGGTAAAAGGATCAGTTGTCAAGGGTTAACGGGGAGGAAGGAGTGAATAGACAAAGCACAGAGGGTTTTTAGGGCACAGAAACTGTTCTGTATGATACTATAATGGTGAATAAATGTTTCTAGACATCTAAATCTATAAATTGTACAGCACCTTAATGTAAGCTGTGAACATTGAATGCTGTATCAATGTAGTTCATTGATTATAACAAATGTACCGCTGTGGTACAGGAGATTGATAATGGGGGAGGTTTTGGGTATTTGGTGAGGGAGATGGCATTTGTAGGAACTCTCTGTATTTTCAACTCTATTTTCTTGTGAATCTAAAATTTTCCATACCATTTTATTCCTCATTTTGCAGTACTTCTCTCTTGGTACCATGTGTAACAAGGCTTATTTCTCCACTAAAGTATAAGAACCTTTAGAGCAAAAACGATGTTACTCATCTTTGTAACCTCTTGTGTGGAGCACTTGTGTTACAGAAACACAAGGGGGGCCTGGGACGATACACTATTATTGAAAGAAAGGCCCCGGGTCTGTTATGTCTGCTGCCCTAGGAAAGACGTCTCTCAATGCCAGAGATTCGTCTCTCAATGCCAGAGATTCGTGAAAAGGAAAGGAAATGTTTATTTAATGCTATACTAACTTAAAGTAGTGACCTAATGTCTTTATCAAAAATCCTAAAGTCCCTAAAAACACCCACAAACACACACAGTCCTTCCTTCCTTCCCCCTTTGCCCAGTCCAGAGTACCATATCTCAGGAAAGGAAATAGAAGTCCATGGCTCAGGCAGTCCTCTGGTTCTTCCCAGTTAGTCTTCCTTCTCTACTGGGAGACCTCCCTGGGTTCCCGGCACCCTCGGCTGAGTCGCCAGGATCTCTGCTAAAACCAGGTGGTGGTTCTCCCTTCTAAAGCTGCAGGGGTCCCCACTCTGGCACAGGCACGTGGTCCTCTCTCCCAGGGCCACGGGAGTCCCCATTCAGCCAGAGCCGCGTGGTTCTCTCTCTCAGGGCTGCGGGAAGGGAGAGTCTCCACTCTGTCTAGGCTGCGTGGTTCTCCCTCTCTCAGGGCTGTGGGAAGGGAAAGTCCCCACTCTGTCCAGGCCATGTGGTTCTCTCTCAATGGCTGCCGTGTCTGGGTTTAAATCCCCTGTGCTAATCTTCTGCAGCCCCATTTCCGACTCCTACACTCAGCACACTTGCCCTCAATCTGCTGTCTTCTCCAGCTTTTCTTGTTGCCATTGTAGGTCTGGGCAGGTGTCACCCCATGTCCTGGAGCCAATCTTCTCCCAGCTCCCACGCAGGCAGGCGCTGTAGCTCAGGGGACCTGCCTCCCAGGTCCCATCTTGGGGGGGAGGTACCTTTCCATCCCCCTGGCCTTGAGCATGGCCATACCTATTTAGCATATCTAAGTGACCATCCAAAGGCTATAGGTATGCTAAATGACCATGCCATGGATTAGCTGCAAAGCTGCCCTGCATGTCCTTGCTCTGTGTGCCCCTTCCCCCAACTCACACCTGTGGGGGAAGGGGTGGAGACATCTTAAAATCTCCTAGACACCTTAAGTCCTGGACCCCATTTCAAATGCCTATTTGGGGTCCCCCCCTCTTGGCTGCACCCTGTAACACTTGTACTTAGTAGACATCATAAAGTTGTAAATGCTCAGAAATGTTCTCTGAATACTACAAAAAATGTTAGTGCTAGTTTTGAAAATTATGCTCAGCAATATTGGGGCACCCTCAGGACATATCTTTTGACATATTTTCTAATTCATACTGCATTTGTGTGGATTGGAATCCTAAGCATTAACTTGGAATTTCTTTTATTCCCATTTTCCTGCTATGCATGTGCCTTGGAATTAGATCTGGTTTTTACTGTTACCCTCCTATTACACGACCTTAGTCAATGTCTATGATTGCCTCATCTATAAACAGAGGAAATAGTAATCCTAATAAGGCTGTTGCAGGGAATAAGGATGTGTGAAATAATTAGTCACACAGCAAATGTTCAAAATACATAATTATTACTTCTTTCACTGCTCCTTGAAAGTTAAATCTTAGGATACCTTGAATTAGAGTTTGAAGTGTATTCTAGTAATCATTTTCCTCTTGAATCTGCAGTTTTGGGAGCACATGGTAGGGCCAGCTCATCTCTGTTTCATGCAGCTTGTACTGGGGCAGAAGGAGCCACATCAGTGTTAGTACTGGCTGTTGACTGGCAGCGTCAGTTCATCTCTACAGAGTCTTCTCCAGAAGCTGTTAGAGTGTCATCACACGATGGCAGCTGGGTTACAGAGAAAGTGGTCCAAAGAGACAGGAAGTAGAAGCTGCAAACTCAGCCTGGGTCTCAACACTGTTGGTTCTGACAGTCCTAGAGCCTACCTAGATTTCAAAGGCAGAGGATGTAGAGGATGGTGAAATAATTAGTGGTTGTCTTTACTATGTAGCAGGGCAGGATTTGGGTCTCCCCCCACCCCAGTTGAATCACTTAAGGCATTGTTTTAAAAAATGTCAGGAATGTAGAATTTTAAGTACAACTAGCTGAAGCAGTTTCAGATGGTATGACTACTATTTTAGGTACATATCAATTTACCAGTCATTCTCTAAATGGCAGTGTCTTCACAAAACTGGATCTTAAACAGCTACCCACCCTCAACTCCTTATTACCTGTAACAGCTTATTTGAATGGTTATCTA